GCAATATAGGAAACAGGCAAACGAGCTTGAAGCACAGATTGAAATTGGCAGGTACAATGCTGTGGGAATCACTGACACGTGGCTGCAAGGGGATTAGGTCTTAGGACTAAATATCAAAGATATGCAGATGGACAGAGTTGCCTTGTTAGTAAGAAATGAAATTAAATCAATAACAAGTGATATCAAGTCAAAAGGCATAAATCTATGTGGGTAGACTTGAGGAAATGCAAAAGAAAAAGACACCCTAATGTGAGTTAATTACAGGCCTCCTAGCCGTAATCAGGATGTTGGAAAGAAAATAAATCTGAAGATTAAAAAAAGGCTTGTAAGAAAGGCACTATTAGAATAATCATGGGGATTTCAATATGCAGGTGGACTGGGAAAATCAGGTTGGTAACAGATCCAAAGAAAAGGAACTCGTGGAATGTCAAATAGATTCTTTGGAACACCTTGTAGAGCCCACTAGGGAACATGCAGTTCTGGATTTGGTGATGTGTGATGAGGCAGACATGATTAGGGTGTTTAAGGTGAAGGAACCCCTAGGGGGCTGTGACCATAATATGATAGTATAATTAATGTAACATATATAAAATTATATATTATATCTAATATAATTCACCCTGCAGTTTCAGAGGAAGAAGCCGGAATCAGATGTAACAGTATGACAATTGAGTAAAGGTAACTACAAAGACATGAGGAAGGACCTGGGTACAGATGATTGTAAGAAGAGCCTAGCAGGGAAGATGGTGGAGCAGCAATGTCACAGAGGCAGAGACATATAGCATGGAAACAGACCCTTCGTCCAACTTGTCCATGTCGACCAGATATCCTCAACTCATCTCATCCCATTTGCCAGCATTTGACCCATATCCCTCTAAACACTTCCTATTCAATACCCATCCAGGTGCTTTTTAAATGTTGTAATTGTACCAGCCTCCACTACTTCCTACGGCAGCTCATTCCATATACACACCAACCTCTGTGTGAAAAGATTGCCCCTTAGGTCTCTTCTAATTCTTTCCCTTCTCACCTTAAACCTATGCCCTCGAATTTTGGACTCCCCTACATTGGGCAAAAGACCTTGAATATTCACCCTATCCATGCCCCTCATGCTTTTATAAACTTCTGTAAGGTCCCCCCCCTCAGCCTCGGACTCTCCAGGGAAAATAGCACCAGCCCGTTCAGCCTCTCCCTAATAGCTCAAACCCTCCAACCCTGGCAGGAGTTGCTGGGGACAGTTCAGGAGGCAGAGCGGAAATTCAACTCAAGGAAGAAGAAATGTTAACAGGAAACATGGCTGACAAGGGAAGTCAGAGACAGCAGATAAGCAAGAGAAGAATGTGGTGAAGACAAGTGGGAAGCCTTTAAAAAGCAGCAGACAGTAACTGAAACAGCAATGATGGGAGAAAAGATGAAATGAGGATAAGCTACACCCCAGAGTTATTATAGAATCCCTACAGTAGAGGCCATTCAGCCCATGAAATCTGCACTGACTCTCCGAAGAGTATCCCCCCCCCCAATTTACCGCGATTAACCCTACCTAGTGTCACATGCCCCGAACACGATGCAGCAATTTAGCATGGCCAATCCACCTAACCTGCACTTCTTTAGACTTGCTTCATCAAGGAGATGTCATACCTGCCAAATATGTTAGAATTGAGGAAGTAATAAAATTAGGCACAGAAAAGCCCAGAATGCAATCTATTTGGATTTCCAGAAGGTCTTGTGACAAGGTGCCACACAGAAGGCTGTCAAATAAGAGCCAAGGCATTGGCATGGATAGAGGACTGGCTGGCTGGCTGAAGGCAGAGGATGGGGATAAAGGGATCTTTTCCAGGAAAGCTGCCAGTGACAAGTTCCACAGGGGTCAATATTCAAACTAAAGTATTCACGTTATACATGAATGATCTGGGCGAAGGGATGAGGACATTGTTGCTAAGTTTGCAGATGGCACAAAGATAGGTGGAGGGACAGGTAGTGTTGAGAAAGTTAGGAGGCTGAAGAAGAACTTGGACAGGCTAGGAGAATGGGCAAAGAAGTGGCAGATGGAACATAATGTGGGAAAATGTGAGGTGATGCACTTTGGTCGGAATAATAGGTGTGGACTATTTTCTAAATGGAGAAAGGCTTCAGAAATCGGAAGCTCAAAGGGACTAAGAGGAGTTCTGGTACAGGATTCTCTGAAGGTTAACATATGGGGTCAGTTGAGAGTTAAGAAGCCAAATGCAATGTCAGCATTTATTTTAATAGGGCCAGAATACAACAGCAGAGCGGTACAAGGCTCTGATTCAACCACATTTGGAATATAGAGAGTAGTTTTGGACTCCATATCGAAGGAAGAATTTGGTGGTGTTGGAGGGCATCCAGAAGATGTTTACAAGAAAGATCCTAGTGATGAAAGGATTAAAATGCGAGGAGTGGTTGAGGACTCTGTCTGTAAGCCAAGTTTAGAAGGATAGGGGAAGGATCTCATTGAAACTTACGGAATATCGAGAACCCTGGATAGTTTGGACATGGAGATGATGTTACCAATAGGAGGAGAGACTGGAACCAGAGGACACAGCCTTAGTGAAGGAATGACCCTTTAGAACTGAGATAACAGAACTCTTCAGCCAGAGGATGGTTAATCTGTAGAATTCATTGCTGCAAAAGGCTGTGGAGATCAAGCCATTGAATACATTTAAGAGATAGATTGGTTCTTATTTAGTAAGGGGAAATCAAGGGTTATGGGGAGAAGGCAGGATATTGAGGTTGAGAAACATTAGCCACAATCAAATAGCAGAGCAGACTCAATAGGATATATGATTAAATTCTGCTCCTAAGTGTTATTGAAAAGAGATTTTCTGTTCAGAGAGGGGGCTTGAGCAGATTTAAGAGTCAAGGATGCACCAGATTGGATGGAAGTCAGTCACAGATATTCAGAAGACTGAGTGAAATAACGGAATTAATGGGAAAGGATCTTTTCCATAGTTTGGTATAATTGTTCTCCATTGCACAATGGTTAGTCTATGTTTCTTCTTTCATAGAATCCCTACAGTGTGGAAACAGGCCCTTTGGCCCAACAAGTCCACACCAACCATCAGAGCATCCCCCCAGACCCATTCCTCTATAACCCACCTAATCTACACAATCCCCAAACACTACAGGCAATTTAGCATGGCCAATCCACCTATCCTGCACATCTTTGGACTGTGGGAGGAAACCGGAGCACCCGGAGGAAACCCACGCAGACACGGGGAGAACGTGCAAACTCTGCACAGACAGTCGTCCAAGGGTGGAACTGAACCTGGATCCCTGGCGCTGTGAGGCAGCAGTGCTAACCACTGAGCCACCGTGTCGCCCCTTGTTGGCTTGTTATAGTCCAAGTCTTAAAACCAGGAAATTTTGCTATATGGTTCTTTTCAACTAGTTTCTGGGAAGCACATACCTCTTTATTAAAAGTCATTGCTCTCTACAGGAATTGTAACACTCAATTTCCACCCTCACTTTCCTCCACATAATTAGATGTATCCCATGTGGTCCAGATTACTCTGCAACTTATATTACAGCCAACCATGTTAATTCCTTCTCTAGAAACTTTTCACCTATCCAATCTATCACTTACTTTTTCCTCACACTATGCATCAGCCATATTACATTAAAAACCTGGTCACTTTGAAGCCAAACAACCCCAAAATCCTCCTACTAACTCTTTCTGCTCACTGTTTCCCCTCGCTGGCACTCCTGTTCACCACTTCTCTCACCAGAATGTCCCACTCAACACATTTGCATAATTTCTCCACAATTTCCCTGTATATTTATTCCTCCATGTTTTTCCTGCTAGTTGGGAGGACTACTGAACCAGTGCAATGATAACTCTAATGCTCAAGTTTTAATCAGATAGATGTTGTCCCTGATTTCCCCAATACATCAATTCTCTCCAGAATTGCAATATTCTCCATAACCATTTCGACCAGCCCTTCTCCTTTCTTTATTGAACATCTTATGTCCAAGAGTATTTAATCCCTATCCCTGCCCTATCAGAACCAGGTATCTGTCAACACCAGAATGTCAGATCATCTTCACAACCTTTGACTAATCTTTTCTGTGCAGTTTGCCTACACTTCCCATTATGATTTTCTCTAAAACATTAGCAATGTAACACATAATATCATAACTACAAATAAAGGAATTTTGTTCCCCTGTAAATTCCCATGACTCCTATTTTGTGCTGTCACTGCTCCAAAGTACCAACAATATCTATCAGTTCTGACTGGTTGCCACAGCAAACTCATTAAATCCAACAGATTATGCATGCATTACAAATAACCAATTTAAAAGAAACATGTTTTACACTGGAAATATTTTTAAGGCTAAATGCAGTAATACACTATGACGACTGCCAAAAATCTCCCAGGTGACACCATGGCACATTATTTAGAGATGAATGGTAAATGTGTTGAGTCGTTCTTTGAATGCTTTCTTTAGATAGCTACTCAACTGAGTGAAGGTGGTTAATATTTTTAAGCTTCTCTTAGGGTTAATTTCAGTAATCAGAAATTAGGATTAAACTTCAGCTGCTTACGAAACCTAAAGCAAATATAATGGATACTAGAAAAATTAATTTTCAGTTGCACTTAAAAGTCATTCAAGTTGGTGACATCTAAATAAACCTGTAAGTGATAATTTTGAAATGATATGCTTAAATGTTTAATTCAAAAGTTAAACACTATTATCTGGATTCTTAGGTGTTCTGAAGGTCTCAGATCTGTAACTGAGCATCAGCAATACCATGAACAGTTTATTCTTTAATAGAGATTTCTGACTTGCATTGAAAGTTATTTACAAATTGAGAGATTATCTGAAATAGATATTAGATATATATTTCATGTTTTTATATATGTATAATATACACACACATATATATGCACACACTTTTGCTAAAAATCAGAAACAAAAATTTAATAGTCTGCAGCTCTGTTAAGAATAAACAACAGTTTCAACAATTATTTTATACTTACTCTACGTATGGCTTCCTCCTCCTCTTGTCGTTTTTCATAATGTGCAAAGTCATCAAAGATTGAAGTGGTATGCTTGTAAGTAGCAATTATTTTAAGCACTTGCTTGGCTTTTTCCAGGGGCACTTCTTGTGTGTCCCTTGAATTGGTAACTGGTTTGTTATCATTGTTTTCCAAACGAATATGCCGAAGTTGGTTATTGGGTACATCTTTCACAAAGATCCACTTAACTTCAAACTTGCCCTTCCATTTATCCTGTGACCAAACTCCAGCAAAAGCATTATAGTCCACTGCTGACTTCATCTCAGCCACTCCACAAAAATGTCCACTCCCATTTACACTAAAGAGTAAATAGAGTGGTCCTTTACCATTCAAAGAGCGAAAAGCAGCATCCAAACGTTTATTACCATGTTCTGTACTGCACCAAATAGAGTACTTGATAGAACGGTGTATATCGTCCTCAGAGTAGCTTTTAATTATAAATACTCGACCTGTCTTCAGACTCCAGTCGAAATCTTTGGGGTTGTAGTTGTGTATGCCCTTTAGTTTTTCCAATACAGGATGTACTTCTCCTCCAGACGGCGAAGTGCTTAACGATGCTATACCCAACACAAAACTCTCACTACTTGCTCCACTGGTCTGACTAAAGCTAGCTCCCCGATTGCGAGGAGCCACCCAACGATTTTGCGGCTGCTGCTGACCTTGAGACGGAGGTTGTTGAGGTCCTGGATTCTGTGGTTGTTGCTGATTTGTTGGGTGGGTCTGAATAGCAATTGGTTGCTGGGGAAGCTGATGCTGCTGTACAACTACTTGAGGAGGCATAACTTGCTGTGCAGGCGGGACTTTGGGTACATTGCCTTTGTCTTCCCAAGTTCCAATATTCATGTTGTGTTTTATAGGTGGAGGTGGTACTGCAGGTCCACCTAGTCCCATGTTAGTCTTAGGCTTTAATTTTGGCTGAGGCTTTGCTGGTTTCCTAGCAATAGCAGCCCAGGATGTAGGCTTAGGTGCTGAAGTGCTTGTAGCTGGGGTGCTATTAGCAACAATGCTACTGCACATACCTGTACTACTAAGAGCAGAACCTACAGTTTTAGTGACAGCTGTCGTCATATCTCCTCCAATCTTCAGTCCTGTCATGCCTTGTTCAATGCTATTTATGCCAGGCACCTTGCTCAAAGAGTCACTGCCAAATCCAGCCTGTCCATCAGCTATGGCTCTTCCAAGAGAACTAGGCGGGTACCCATAGCTGTTACTATATGCAGAACTTTGGGTTGACTGTCCTTGAGATCCACTTGCTCCCCAAGTAGAAAAGTCTGCGTTCCCAGGAAAAAAGTTAAATCCATGTTGATTCAAAAATGGTGGGGTGCTCCCTAAGGCCCCAGGCTGGCTAAATACACCATCCGGTATAAAGTGATGCTCACCATTACTCATCTGTCCATATGTTGTTAAGTATGGCATTGGAGGATCTCCCCCTGTTGACCAGGGAGCTTCACCAAGAGAATATGGAAATCCAATGGAAGGAGCATAATAACTGGGCATGTACGGATCGGACATTGGTGGGTAGCTGTTGCTCTGCAAGAAATAAAACAAAATTTAACCTATAAACATATGAACAAAGACTACGTGGTTTCTTCATAATAGCACAACTTCTAAGGCAAAACAGCATGCGGTTTTAGAAGTGCGTAAGGAATTAAAAAATGCAACACAGAATCACTACAGTGCAGCTGGAGGCCTTTCGGCCCACCAAGTCTGCACTGAACCTCCACCACCAGCCCCCCCTCCCCCAACCGAAGAGCATCCCATCCTAACCCTGTAACCCCACATTTACCGTCGTTAACGCACCTAGTTTGCACAGTAGGGGGCAGTTTAGCATAGCTAATTCACCTAACCTGGACCACCCAGTGATTAGCACTGCTGCCTCACACTGTCAGGAACCCCAGTTCGATTCCACCCTTGGGCAACTGTGTGTGGAGCCTGCACATTCACCCAGTGTCTGCGAGGGTTTCATCCCATAGTCCAAAGATGTGCATGTTAGGTGGACTGACCGTGGGAAATGCAAGGTTACAGGGATAGAATAGGGGCTTGGGTGTGGACAGAATTCTCTTCGGAGGGTCGGTGTGGGCTCGATAGGGAAAATACCTGTTTCCACACTGTAGAGATTCTATCTTCTAACCCTCACATCTTCGCCCTGTGGGAGAAAACCGGAGCACGCAGACGTGGGGAGAATATGCAAACTCCACACAGACACTTGTTCCAGACTGGAATTTAACCCAGGTCCCTGGCGCTGAGAGATAACAGTGCTAACCACTGATCCACCATAACATAACATGGCCACATAGCTTAACATGATTAAATACAGCACTTCCTTTGAAGCCATAAAGTGTAACTCTTGTGCCTTCCAAAGGGAAACACTGGTTGATGTTAGGCAGATCCTCTGGTCAATTAAGAGGTTGAGTTTAATTTTAAATCAATTTAATTCAAAAACTTTTGCCTCTAGCTGGGAAAGCTTTTCTGCACATTGGAGCAGGCTAATTTATTCTCACTCAGATATGACACAAATTTACTTGCAAGGTAATAAAACCTTTGCTTCAAAGTGAATGGCAAGAAGCTAAAGCAACTTTAATACACAAGCAATCTCAGTATGTTTGCTGTCACAGCAAATTTAATACAAAGCCATCAGTAAAAACAGTTATTTGGCAGACATTCAATGATCAGATTCTTTTAAATTATCAGATGTATTAAAAGCAGTGATATGGCTTAAATCACTTTATAGTTGTACATTTACTTTATATTATAATCCTAAACTGTTTCAATGGTCAATTCAAAAGTGTTTGAAAGGAAGAAACAGCTATTCTATACATTAAACACATTTTACAGACCTAATGTTACCCTGGGAATTCAATTCGCTCAATAAAATTGGTCCAAAAACCTAACTACAAAAATTAAGCTGCCTTAAGACAGATTTCTGGAATTACCAAGAGCATAAGTTTGTACTTCCAAAATCAAAAATTAAACTGACATTGTTTTTGCATAGCATGTATTTACAAACCTTTGGTAAACGCCTCAATGTGTCCAACTGGTCATTCTGTCGAGATACAGACAATGAATGACAACCAAAAGAATGCAATCAGAAGTTATACCCCAAGATGTGGATTTTCCAGTGGGCATTAGAGGCTTGCATTCAAAACTGAACCACGAGTTAACTTTAACTATTCCTAACTTAAGAACTAGATATAACTCTTCATTCTCAGGACTGCATTAGCGGAACTCAAGAGACAAAACCTAAGGACTTTCTCGTTCTATGCAGCATTCTGCAAAATTACAATGTAAAAGGCAGCAATTTTACTCATTGCTTCATCAGATCTGTTCCTGCTTGGTTTTCCCCACTGACATATAAAAAGTCTACGTTTTAACTTTGAGAGATTTCAGGCTCAGTAAACTGCATTTGATGTACTGCCTGCAGTACTGTGCAGTTTCTGAAACCATTAAAAATAAGATTATGGCAGAGCTTCAAACACTTTGCATTAAATTTCATTTTACAAAGTTTGGATCTGAAGAAAGGGATCAACAAAGCTTTTTGCAGGGCCTTAGTTCAAACAGATTCTTCACCAGTCCCAAATTAAATTAAATTAACCCCCATCTTGAACACCCTGCTGCATGGAAAACAGATAATTAAAACAATGACATAACAGGCTGTTGATCAGTCTATTTTGTTTTCGTCATTTGGCAAAACAGAAGCCAAGGATTGCTGAAAAAAAATATGTTTTTGAAATATATATCAAGGTAGGTAAAGGAATGTTAAATCTCAAAGGAAGCAACAACTCTCACTGGATGAGAAAAAGACACAGATACATTGGCAAATTGACTAACTGCTTCAGGTTTTGCTATCAAGAGTCCACCATGGAACTATCAGCACCCATACTTCTGTGTAATTTAAGAGGCACAGGCCTGAACACATTCTTTTTCACATGCAGAGAAAGACTCTTCTCTGTTGTGAATATAGCTGCTAGTAAGTTTAAGCAAACACATCATAAACTTAATCTTAAAATTGGCTGTTCCCGTAATTCTAGGCACAGTTGGGATTATGCAGCAAGTGCCATCCAACCATGGAATTACATCTAGCATCACATTTTCCACTGGGTTCATTTGAAATTAATTTAACTGTTCAATTAATCTTCAAGTCAAAACTATGGTACTTCTGGTTATATAACTGCACCTAATGAATATTCTGCTTTCAGATCATGAATGAATGAAGCAATATAATTCAGCACGGTTTTTTCAAAGATCTCAGCCCAGGTTCAATTGTACAAAATAGGAGCAGCATTCATCCACTATAATAAACATCAGTTTCTCCAGACAGCTTGGTGAAATGAATATGGAACAATAGTCAGAATCTGAAAGTATATACTACTTAAATGCGCTAGAGGAGTTAAACAATGTCTACACCAAATCTTTTAGAGGGCATCCGAAGATCAAATCAAATAGACATTTAAACAGCATACGTGAAAAAAAAATGCATAGCTCTTGGAAAACAAAAATCAGCATGACAATTTTGTTTGATTTTGTAGGAACTGCTCTTCTTAGTACTGTTTTTAAAAACAGCAATCAGTTTTACTTCATTAAGCAGTTTGCTTGCCAACTTGTACAGATCAAAGACAAAGTAAAATCTGGTCAATCATGCAGAACAAAAGATGGATGAGTAAGGGGTGCATCACTTCCTGTTAACATGGAGCCAACAGATCTCAGTGAAATTAGTTAAAACAAAGCCAATTCAAACGAGGAAAGGAAATAGCTGGAAAGGACAAGGGATGCTTGAGACAATCTATTCTTTAATTCATACCATACAATAGTTGAGATGTTTGTATGCAGGAGGTTTAAGGTTTCCTACTTCATTTTTTTTGGTATGCAATAGCAGAATTAAACTTTAACAGTGTTAGTACTCAAATCATTTTCGGGGAGGTATGATTTGCATTATACATACAGCCATCATCCATTGCAATACAACAGTTTTTTTTGACAATTACTCATCAGTACTTGCTTATCTGATTGGGCAACTGCTTGGAATCTATGATACTATGCTAAGCACTTACAATGGGGCCAGTTTAGAGGGGTGAAGAATCAGAATTATGTTGCAAAGTACCAAACAAAATTGAAATAGCTACTGGTCAATAAAAGTAGAACAGTGCCCCAAAAAGCAGTTACCATTAGCTCCAAAGTGTACATTTATTGAAACAAAAAATGTTATTTACTTTTCAACAGAAACAAAAGATTTCTAATGTGTCTGTCTGTCAGGGTAAGCTACTGTGTGCACATGCATATATTTAATGACAAAGCAGAGCTAAACACATGCAATTAAACCTGCAATTTGGTGGATCGGCCAGGGGAAACGCAGGGGTTAAGGTGGGTGGTGGGATTTTCTTTGGAGGATTGGTGCAGATTTGATTGACCAAATGGCCTCTCCTGCACTGCAGGGATTTTATGAGCCAATTTTTGAACAATACGAACTTGCACATATCAAGCCTTTAATGTATGAAACCACCCCAAGACACTTCACAGAGGTACACCCAGATAGAAAATGAGATGGAGTCAATAAGTTTTAAAAACTATTTGAGAAACAAAAAATAAGATAGGTTTAGGAAGGAAATTCAAGAGTATAGCCTAGGTGGCTGTAAACAGGCACCAGTTATATGATCCAAGGAATAGGAAATGTAGCTGATGTAAAGGTTTATGATAACGTATAAAGCATACAAGAAAATACAGAAATAGAAAAAGTCATGCCTACTAATGCATTTTCACGAGAATGAGGCAAGTAAATGAGGTATTGGTGGACAAGATGCCAATGTTAGTCTACAAGCACCAAACGTGATAGGCCAGTCGTACTTGGCATGGGCTAGAAAACTCATAGCAGCGTTTTTGGCGAGCTTGGGTTTATGAAGGATGGAGAACAGAAGCTTGGAGGACATTCACATAGTCCCAGCTCCAAGGAAGGGTCACCTAACCAGAAACTCTGATTTTTCTTCACAGATATTGCCAGGCCTGCTGAGCCTTTCCAGCAACTTCTGTTTTTGTTCCTGATTTACAGCATCCACGGTTCTTTCAGTTTTTATTCATATAGTCAAGTCTGGAGCTGGCAAAAATATTAGATGAGCATTTCAGTAGTGGATGATCTGAAACAGTGGAGATTCAAGGGCTTTTAATTGGGCCTGTTCCTAGGCCTGGCCAAAGTGGCAATTAATAGGTCTGGGCAGCAGGTTGTCGAAGTGGTCATAGTGCCGACTGTCTGTTCCTTTTTTGTGGTTATGCCTGTGTTCAGGTGCCCATTATGAGGGAGTATGCAGTGTCACTGGCATGATACAGGCCTTCAGAGACCAGTGGGCACCACAGTGGTTGGTGCATCATCACCCTGGAGAATGTTAACTTAATAGGTTTCCTCACTCAGATAGTAAGAACTGCAGATGCTGGATGGAGGGGAGGAGGATAAATTCTTCAAGGTGGGCATCCTTAGAAGTTTTCTGAAGAAGGGTCCCGACCAGAAACGTCAATTTTCCCGCTCCTCTGATGCTGCCTGGCCT